GAGGCTTGACTAAGGAAGAATCTACTTCTAAACTCATTAGGTGGTTCACAGAGTTTATTATTTGTAGCTGTAGAGCTAATGGTGGCTCACTTCTTCAAGACCAGAAGGAGAATCTCTCTTCAGGAAAGTCCCAATCCTTAGGTCCACCCATGATAATTTCTCTTTGGATTAGCTTAAAATCAACAGATCTCAAAATCTATTCACCTTTGCTCTCTAAAGTAACCTGATCAAGGAAGTGACAAGTTACATTCTTTTGGTTAAGACAAAATCACAGGTTCTTCTTACACTCAAGATGAGAGAATTGTACCAGTGTGTGATTAATTTGGGGTCATTTTAGGGTGTGTCTCCCAGGTTTAATAATTAAGATAATGTGGTGATTGTGCAGGAATCGACATGTAGAAATAGATCCATACATATATGGATACATGAATAAAACAGATCCATACCTATATGGACATGTGAGATGGCATTGTGGATGACTTAGGGTGACAATGAATGATTCTGTGACAACTGATCATGGAATTTAAGAAACTTAATTGAAAGAAGAATCAACTACATCTAAAAATAAAAACAAAACTTACAGACAAAAACAATACAATATCTTTATGATTTTAGGATAGGAAACAGAGTCTCAACAGCACTAACAATAACATAAAAGGTTGATAGATTTAATTCCTTAAAATGAAGAATTTAATTTCATGAACAGATGTCATAAACAAAAGAAAAGACAAGTCTTCCCAGGGCAAACTTTTTTTTTTTGTACTGAACATTGCTTGCTAATTACCAGGCTTTGGCTGGCTTTTGATGGGTATTAACTTAGGATATTTTGAAAGGAGACCAAGGGAAGATACCTTTGTGAGGGGGTTAGAAGACATGGCCATCAGAAGGAGAGCAAATTGGGAGAAATAACAATGATGTTTAAAAGAAATTCAGCAATTGCACTCCTGGGTATTTACGCCAAAGACACAGATGCAGTGAAAAGAATAGCCACATGCACCCCAATGTTGATAGCAGCAAAGTCTGCAATAGCCAAACTGTGGAAAGAGCTGAAATGCCCTTCAACAGATGAATGGATAAAGAAGATGGGGTCCATATATACAATGGATAATTACTCAGCCATCAGAAAGAATGAATACCCAACTTTTACATCCACATGGATGGGACTGGAGGAGATTATGCTAAGTGAAATAAGTCAAGCAGAGAAAGTCAATTATCATATGTTTTCACTTATTTGTGGAACATGAGGAATAGCATGGAGGACATTAGGAGAAGGAAGGGAAAAATGAACGGGGGGGAATCGGAGGAAGAGATGAACCATGAAAAACTATGGACTCTAAGAAACAAACTGAGGGTTTTAGAGGGGAGGGGGTGGGGGGATGCGTTAGCCCAGTGATGGGTATTAACGAGGGCATGTACTGCATGGAGCACTGGGTGTTATACAAAAACAATGAGTTGTGGATCACTACATCAAAAACTAATGATGTATTGTATGGTGACTAACATAAAATAAAATAAAAAATAAATAAAATAAAAGAGATTCAAAGGAAGTTTTTGGTGCCTAAGATATAATAAATAAACAAAGTTATCTATGACATGGAGTAAATAATGATTTATAATAGTTCTTTCTGGAAACAATGCTGGGGTAAATTACGGAAGGTGAGGCTGGCTAGTCTTTAGCTTTGAGGGAACTTTCTGTATCTTATTAATCTTTGTACTTCCAACTTCATGAAACACAGTATTAGCTTAATAAATTTTTATTTTATAAATATGTGCCATTGTGCTAAAAAATAGTACACACATGCTCTCCCAAAAAGCCTTCAATGCTTTCACATATTTTTCTTTACATTGGCTCAGGAAACACACACACACACACACACAAATGAACTACTGGCAAAGAGCAACTTGTTCTTATAATTCCACTAGGCCCAAGATGACTTTTTTTGACCTTGATGGATCAAAGAGAAGCTTCTCAGTCCCTCCCCAACTGTTTCTGTTCCATTTTCCCCTGGGGAAGTGGGCATCAAGCACATTCCATGGTGAACTCTGGAGACCTCCGTGGGTTCTAGATCCCTATTATCTGTCATAAGAGTCAACCAAAAACCCAGGAAACTTTGGTTTAGAAAGAACTGATCACAGAAAACCAAAACCATTCTTGTCCAGTTCATTAATTCCATTAGGAAAGCTGCACATTGATAAGGGTGCATGGGAAAACATTACAGGGGCGGGGGGGAAGCCTCCAAGGAACACAAAGCAGGAGCTGAGACTTCACACTCAAGTTGGAGCAGACTGGGTCCATGGCGGTTTGTGAGTGTCTGTGTGCGGGAATGTATCTGTGTGGGTATATGTACACTTGCAGAAGTGGAGCAGATAGAAAGAACTACATTTTTCTTGAGCCAAGAGCCCGAAAACTAATGGCAAATATAACTTAGGCATGTACTTGGCCACTCTGAAGAACTTTTCAGCCACATGTTTATAGATATAGGGAAGGATTTTTGCTACCTCTGAGGGTTTTTGCCTCCTTTCCTTGCCTCAAGCCTACACAAACAAATTAAGTATATACTGAAACATGTGATGCATCTGAAAATTAGGACGCCATGGCCCCTTCCTTCCAATTTAGGATGAGTGGCAAATTGGCTATGCGTTGGTCTTGTGTGGGGCAATGGGCTAGAACCCACAATTCCTCCCTTTCTGGAACTGCTTCTTGGGCAGTGTCCCAAAACCTCACCAAAAACCACTGAGTTATAGGACCAGGCCCCAGAATGTGGCCCTGACAGTCCATCTGTCCTTCATACCTGATAATGGGACAATCAACAGATCTCTGAGTCAGGCAAAGGTGTATGTTGAGCACAGGTGTAGAGAGTCCATTTACTTTAGGTTGGGGGGAAGCATATAGATTTGCTAAAATGAATTGTGTGTCTGCTCTGAAATTGTCCCTCTTTATCTTTCTCAGAAACCTACAATGGTAGCTGAAGAAATTATTCAACTCTGGATATTCCATCGAGGCTGTGTTCATAACTGATTTATTATGTTTTGTTTTTCTGTCTCCACTTGTTTTCTGCTTGGCTCTTAATTGAAATTTTATGTAAAAATTAATAGGCATTTAAGGATCACACATAATTCAATAATATTTCCCCAGGAAATGATGTAACTTGGCATTCATATTAGAAAAATATCTTTGTGTCTTTTGATTGCTTCAGGTTAATCATTCTGATTTCTTTGTATTGAAATGTTAATTTGCTTAAAATTTTAAGCCTTTCTTGGAAAATGTTCTCAATATTGATGTTTCTATCAACCATCCTGAATATTGTTACAACAGAACACCACAAAAAAATTCTAATTATTGAAAGGCAGTTTTCATATGGGCTCAATATAGTCTCCCTGTCAATCTTCTTAAGTAAAAACGGGACTTTCATTATGATCTTTTCATTAAACGAACACTAATCAATCATTTATCATTAAGTAACATTGGTAAATAAGAGAGATATATTCTATAACCTAACCAGTTTATTGCTTTGAAAAATATATTAGCAATTATGGAATTGAATTAATAAGAGTTGTTGGGAGGGGCTCAGTGAGGACTTCCTGGTAAACTAAGTGATTTCTAAGCTGAGATTCAAAGGTGAATGGAACTATTGGGATGCAGGGGAAAGGAAAAGAAGAGCACCCTAGGCAGATGAAAAGACATTTATTGATCCATGGGGAAGGATCTTTGTATATCTGAGGACCTGGGGAGACTCTGATGTCCAGAGTGCAAAGACTTCCTTTGGAAGGGGCAAGGGGCATTGCATACAGAATGGGCAAGGGGCATTGCATGCAGAATGGTATAGACCATAATAAAGTCATGACAATAATACAAGAGTAGCAAAATGCTAAGGAAGGATTATGAAAGAGATATCCTGATATTTGTGTTTTAGAACGATCCTTTTGATGGTAGGACATAGAATGGTTTGGAGTGGAAAAGGGCTAGTTGTTAGGAGATAGGTGGGAGCTGTGATAGAATCTGGCACTTGTGGGAAAAAGAATTAAGGGCAATGCAGGAAATGAAGAAGGGAAAAGGAGGAGTCACAGGTGGCTTCTGGATTTCTGCCTTGCATAGTGAGAAGGACTTGGGTTTGGTGAGAGAAGAGCAGACATTGGTGTGGGGGAAGATGATAGTTCAGGTCTGGACATGGTGAATTTCAAGTGCCAAAAGGCTGAATCCAGCATGTTGAAGAGTGAAGGTCAAGTGGGAGGAAGGGGACAGAACTGCTCTCAACAGGAGGTTGCCTAGAAAGGGCATAAATAGAGATGATTTTGGAACAAAATGTCTAATGTATTTAGCGTGCACCCTCTCTTAACCTTTCAGGGAACTTATGGACTCTCTAGTAACAACTCTTTTATGGTGTGGCTTTGCTGTAGTAGGAGGAAGCAGAATGTCATAAAATGATTTCTTCTGTTTGTTTCCTGGGTTGGCACAGCCTAACTGCTGGAGCCATGAAAGGAATCTAAGATCAACATAAAAATGTTAAATAAAATATAAAATACAGGTTGATAAGCTAAAATCATGCTATAACATAGAAATATAAAATTGTTACACAAATTTATGTATTAAAGTTTATGTTTAGCTTTGTTACTATTGAAAAAACAAAATAACTATGGATCTGCTTGATGGATTTTATGTTACCCTTGATTTTAAACATGAAACATACAGATGGACCCAAGCAATAATAGCTCATTAAGTAATGGTCTATCACAGAATAGATGTGCATGTCTGTCTCCTCTATCAATTAATATGTTTGTTTGTCTTTTCCAGTGACCAGTAAAATGTCTTGCACAGCCATGGATAAAATAAAGTTTATAAAAATTAAGTTTAAGAACACCAGTATTTTGACCTTTTTTCACAGTTTGATCTTATTGTAGTTGTATATTTTTATCCAAGTCATACATTTAACAAAATTATTTCCCTGAATTATTTTTTAATCAAAGAAAGTTGTTTTACTTTTGACAATATTTTATTACAGGTGATTATGTTGTCATGACCATATATTTTGAATTGAGTAGAAGAATGGGATACTTCACTATTCAAACATACATTCCCTGTATACTGACTGTGGTTTTATCCTGGGTGTCATTTTGGATCAAAAAAGATGCTACACCAGCAAGAACAGCATTAGGTGAGTTTCAAAAACAAAAACAAAAACAAAACTTTCCCACCATTTTGTATAATATTAATACAGAACTATTCATAAAAATACTTCCAGTGAAAGAAACTTAGTTTAAATGTAATTGATCTAATTTGAGGGCTCCTTAAACTGTGCTTAGATTGTTTCAAGTAGTCAAGTTAGACTCTTCTTTCTGACAATAGAATTCCAAGTGTGCCACTTAAAATAAGTTGGGGTTAGAGATTAAGAACAAATCAATTGCATCATCTGATATTATGCTCTAAGGATGATGTCATCATAAAAATTAGTCACATCCTAGGAATCTGCCACCCTGAAAAGTCTCATTACAATAGTATAAAGAGACACAACTTTTCACACACTTTTGAGGACTAAAGACATAATATCAGTAAAATAGTCTCTCAATAACAAAAGTTCTGGTTGTTTATAGCAACTTTACCATCAAACAAGAAAGTGATCATTCTTTTCAGCTGTAATCTACACACTAAAGCTCAAAGTCTTCTCATGAGTTTTCCTCTGACCCCCAAAGTCCTCTTTATAAAACACTAAATTCTAGTGGTTTTAGAATTGTGCAACATTTTTCTACCAATTTTTCTTTATAATAGGAGTATTATCTAACTTTCAATATTTTGATTTGTGAAAACAGATAATATATAAGACTGAATATAAAGGTTGTTTTCCCTAAAAATGTTTTTCAGAAGAGGGAGCTCCCCCAATTTCAAAATCCTTGCAAAGTCTGTCATATTACATGGTGTTTTTTCTGTATTTGTTACTTTATTCTTTGTTTGTTCAACCAACTAAGTACTTTTGGATCAAGATAAACTAGCCTGTAATGCCCCCACCAGTGTTAGTTTTGCATGTTTATAGAAAATACATAATAGAATTGATAAATCATCCAGCAAAGTCACAACACAAATTTAGTAACTATTCTTGGGCTTATGACCTCACAATTACAAATGCCAGGTGTCATAGTAAGCATCACTTGAAAAATCAGCTTCCAAACAGTGTAATATGTAGTAATGGTTACACAACTTGAAGCTATGAAAGTCCTGTCAAAGAGTCACCACGGGGGCATTGAGGAGATAGAGATACTAGAAATACATAATGCTGGAAGATAATAGATTTACAGTCCAGAAGAGTGGAGAAATGTCATTAACACCAGAATATTTAGTTGAGACACCAGAAAAAGCTGTGCCTAAGACTAAAGGAGTACTCTAGACCCCCTCTAAATAAAGCTTAAACCAAGCCATAACAAGATCAACGAGAACCACCAGTAAATTAACTGTCATAAGAAAGCATTTAACATGGTTTAAAAAAGGATAATATACTTCATAAACTTTGTAATGTATCATCCACAATATTGAGTATGCAATAAAAAATTATTAGGCATTCTTAGAAGCAGAAAAATGTGACCCATGATCAAGAAAAAAATAATCAATATAAAAAGACAAATCTGGTGTTGAATCAGCAGACATGAGTTTTAAAGCAGCTATTATAACAATGTTAAAGGACTTACAGGAAAAAATAATGTAAATGAATGAACAGATGGATAATCACAGCAGGTAAAGTATTTTAAAAAGTAAACTCTAGAATGAATGTATAATAGTTGAGTTGAAAAATTCACTAACTGGGCTTAATAGTAGATTGAAGATGGCAGAAATAAAAGGTCATGCGTAACTGAAGACCATCATATAAAATTTATCTAATCTTAAGAAGAGAGGGATAAAAAGATTTTAAGGGGTGCCTGGGTGGCTCAGTCGATAAGCGACTGCCTTCAGCTCAGGTCATGATCCCAGGGTCCTGGGATCGAGCCCCGCATCGGGCTCCCTGCTCTGCGGAAGCCTGCTTCTCCCTCTACCACTCCCCCTGCTCGTATTCCCTCTCTCGCTGTCTCTCTCTCTCTGTCAAATAAATAAAATAAAATCTTAAAAAAAAAGATTTTGAAAAATGAACAAAGCCTCAATGATCTGTAGGACAATATGAAGATGTATAGCTATAACTGGGGTTCCAGAATGAGAAAAGAAAATGAATGCAATAAAATATTTTTAAGAAATTAGGTTAAAATCCCCAAATTTAGTGAAAAAATTCCTACCTACATATTCTGTAGACATGACATAGTCACCATATTTTTTAAAGTTAAATTGGATATTTATTACAAAATCATTATTTTTATAAAAACACATCTACCATCAGTGTAGACTTTTTACACAGCATTTTTTCCCACCTACAGTAAGGAGAGCCTGACATTCTGTTTTCACTGTACTGATTAAAGAAACAGATTCAGAGACGGTAGGTGATTTTACATGACCAAATGCTAAGAAGGCCCAGAGCAAGGCTGAGGGCTTTGGCTTCCAGGTCAATATCCTTTTACACGGGGCTAAGCTGTCCACCCTATGCTGTTAGCCTCATTCTCCAACTGGCCCTGGCGAACCTCCCTGAGGAGGTGCAGGGAAGCACTGTTTAGGAGTTGTGATGCTCAGCAAAGGTGGGAACTAATGTGTATTTATCCATCATGTCTACCCAATCACGGAGTATTACTGCTAGGTAGAGATTTTATAGTATTCTCATCCAAGCACAGAAGTAGTGAGTGTTATGTCAATATTCCTATGATTCCAGAGTCCATGTCACTAGCCTGCCTGTCCAGCAGCTCTAGCAGGTTCTGATTTTACAGGAGTTCATCTAGAGGAGAGTTAGCCTTAACTCCTTTTGTATAATAATCGCCCAGTAATTTCATTCTTCTTCACGTTAGTAGCCTCCCTTCTTTTTTTAATTTGTTTTTCCTTTTAAACCATCCATCACATATGTGTCTGTTTTCTGATTCTTTTCCATAGTCTCTGTTTAAATCTTTAGTATTTAAAAAAAAATGCAAGTTCGCTTTTCCCAGCTAAGTCCCATTCCTCTTTTTTTAATTTTTAATTTTATATTTTTTTATCATTTCCTTTTCTGTTGTCTGGGAAACCACTCTATGGGTAACCTGATTTCTCTCCAGACTTTTAGAAATACATGTATATTTGTCTATTTGGGAGTAGAGTATTCTCTGACTTGCTTTTTTTTTTTAATCACTCTGCCTTAGAGATCTTTTGAAACGTGAATGAATTCCATCTTATTCTTTAAATGAAAACCCAGCAGTTTATGGATCTACCCTAAATTATTTAACTAGCTTCTACTGATTAGCATTTAAGCAGTTTTTACCCAAAATGTCCATGGTCAACTCCCTTGTTCATTTCCTCAAAAGCCACTCCAAATCTTCATTTGCAGTTCAAGGCTAATTGCTCCATTGTACCCTGGAAACAATCCATTCAGAGTTCCTTTATTCAGGGTTCATTAATTTTCCTTTCTGCCGTATCTTCAACCTGCCAAACATCTTAAATCCTTCCCTCCCTTTCTGTTGCCAGTGCTCTGGTTCACCCACTCCTGTCTCTTGTACAGACTAGTGCAGTAGACTGCCTACCGATCTTGCTGATTCCAAAAGCGAACTTGCATTTTTTTTAATTATATTCACCTTGTACAGTCATGTTATTCACCTCATTTCCCATACAAGGAGTGTGTGCTCGTGTATTTGATAAGTTTGGAACATTAAAACAAGTTGATATGTTCCTTACCCAAGGAATATGTAGATACCTGCTCCTTGTGAAAACATTAAAGCATTACAAACAGTACTATAAGTATTCTTTCACCACAGCCTCCAACCTCACCAAAAATAATGTCTACTCTCATAAGAAGTCACCACTGTTGGGGCGCATGGGTGGCTCAGTTGGTTAAACGTCTGCCTTTGGCTCAGGGCATGATCCTGGGATCTGGGAATGGGCCCCACGTCAGGCTCCCTGCTCAGTGGGGAGCCTGCTTCTCTCTCTCCCTCTGCTGCTCCCCCTGCTTGTGTGTTCTCTATGTCAAATAAATAAATAAAATCTTAAAACTAAAATAAATAAATAAATAAATAAATAATCTTTAGTATTGACACATGTATATAAAATAGTCAAAGTCAGACCAACACTATTATTAATTAACTAATTAATCAAAGAATCAATACATTCCATGTGAAGCATTCATTGAAATGCCTAAAATGTGCTAAGCACAATGCTTGATGACAAGTAAGCAAAGATGAGCAAGGTACAGTTTTGTTTGTAATGATCACACAATTTATTCAGAGAGACAGACATACAAAGACTATAAAGACATGCAATTCTCTGTACTAATGCAGAAACCAGGCATATAGAAAGTAAGGGTAGTGCAGTCTTGCATGTTATCAACTCTGCCTGGCGTGCTATAAGCAACGCCACCCCATTAAGAGAGGTACTTCAGCTGGGTCTTAAAGCAAGGTGGGAATTTATAAATTGCAGAAAGAAAAAGTAAGAAAGGAAACAGTTTATCTGGACAGAAGAACAGTGTGAGATGTGGAACAGACAGAATGTATGGAGGACTGCAAACTACCTTTTTTGTGTGTGTGTATAATTTTTTTTATTATGTTATGTTAATCACCATGTTACATCATTAGTTTTTGATGTAGTGTTCCATGATTCATTGTTTGTGTATAACACCCAGTGCTCCATGCAGTACATGCCCTCTTTAATACCCATCACCAGGCTAACCTATCCCCCCACACCCTCCCCTCTAGAACCCTCAGTTATTTAAAAAATATTTAAAAGACAAAATGTGAAACAATTTGAAAATTTCTGAATAAATTGAAAGGTGTTGACTTAATTCAGGTATTTTAATGTTAATGTATGGATTATGATAAAAAATGTTATGGAAATGTTGCTTGCAAAATTAGGTAGACATTAAAATTAAAGTATTATTATATTTATGTAATGTCAGGAAGGATTGACCTAAAAATAAAACACTGTTGGAGTGGAGGAATTTTGTATGGCTCCTTTTACAACTTGATAACTATCCCCTGCACAGGCATCACCACAGTGCTGACCATGACCACGCTCAGCACCATTGCCAGGAATTCCTTGCCCCGTGTGTCCTATGTGACTGCCATGGATCTCTTTGTGACCGTTTGCTTCTTATTTGTCTTTGCTGCTCTAATGGAGTACGCCACCCTCAACTATTATTCAAGTTGTAGAAAACCAACTACCACTAAGAAGAAAACATCGGTGAGTTTCGGTAGCAAAGATTTTCTGGGAGAGTAGTGGGAGGATAGTTTGCAATAAATGATCCTTATTCCTAAGGATCTTATACAATGTTATATAAATAGCTACTTCAAAAAGATGTCAAAAAAACAAGACAGATATTCTGAAGATATGAATATGACCCAAATGCACCTCTTCAGCTTCACCTACCAGTGACATGGATTGATGTAATCATACCTCAAAGATTGCTCTTAATGAAGGTGATCTATGATGCAGATTTCCACAGAAGTTTTCTAATTATTTTTTTCTGCTTTTCTTGTAGTTATTACATCCAGATTCCTCAAGATGGATTCATGAGAGAATAAGCCTACAAGCCCCCTCCGTATGTATAGCATTGAAGGTGCAAATATTTCTGAGAACTCTTTTAAACTAAGATTGAATGATATGTTATTGTTTATGTATGCATGTATTGAAGAACAATGAGTAATGTATATAACCCCTTCAAAAATGTGTATACTTTTTAAATATCCAATTTGGAAAATAAAGGGAAAAATTAATCATAATCCTTCTACCTAGGGATTAGCATATATATACATATTCCTGTTTTTTAACTCAAAATATATTATGAATAATTTTCTATATTACAAATATTATTTTACAGGATCATTTTAATGATGCATTATATGTTCATGATTGATGCATAGACAATCTTGGTTGGATACTGGGCTAATCCACACCTTCTCACTTTTATACATATTCTTATCACCGCAGTTTTGTATAAACCTGCAACTATTAACTTAATATAAATTCCTAGAAGCAAAATGGCTGGGCCAAGAGGGTTGCTTGGCTCCATCAGCAGTGTGGAACACCCACCTCCCAGAACTCTCCCTGTACAGGTTTGATAGCCAAACAGAAAACTGGCTTCTGCAAACTATTCCCTTAGCATTTCTTTGATTACTGATAAAGCTGAATATTTTCGCTTGTTTATTTTTTATTTGCATTTCTGTTTTTGTGACTTGTTTTTATGTCTTTTGACTTTTATGAAAAATTTTTATATAACCTTTTTAACTTTTTTGTCTTTTAACTTTTTTAAAGTAACGATCTGCCAGTTACTTATACTATATATTATATGTATATTGTATTTTATATGACATAAAACTTATATAGTTACATACCAAATAATTAAGGATATTAATATGTTTTTTTGTTATGTAGTTTTAGTTCAGTTTAATCGCAATGTTGTCACTGTTCATTTCTTGTGCTTTTTTCCACACACATGGTTTTAAATCACCTTTGCCAAATCTATCAGTCTTCCCTTTTGTGGTCTCTGCATCTTGCTCAGAATGATCTAACTCCCCCTCACTTTCTTTTGAGCACTTACTTTTTTGGACACTATATTCTAAGTGTTTTCATGTATCAATTCATTTTATCCTCAAAACAACCCATTCTACTGATGAGAAAACTGAAATATGGAGAAATTAAGCTCTATAAATATTGGTTAAGTTTCAACAATTTATAATATTGTTATATTTAATTATTAATGCATCTGAATTTTTAGTATGTGGCTTGAGGTAAGAACCTAACTATTGAAAAATTGAGAAATGTTTTAAAATCGCTGATGTGGACTACCTTTTTTATGATATAACAAAATTTATATATAACTTGTATCTCTTTATACATATCAATTCACTAATTACACTGAATGCTTTATGCCCACCCATACGTGGTTTTCTAATTGCTGATCAGTAATTTATGTTTAGTGCATTTCAACATACTTTTTCAAGGAGACTGCTTGGTTATCTATACTCTGCAAGTGCATCATTTTAGTTCTGACAGAAGGTGAGTGGTGAAGCCACTTTTACAGCTGTGGGAAGCCACAGAGAACATACAGATTTGTCAGCAAATGCTTCCAAATAGCAACAGACTGAAAGGTAATGGAAAATGTTGGGAATGGGGATGCTGTAACAGAGACAAGTCAGAACAAATAGCCTGAGGTCCAGAAAGCACTTTACCACACATAGCCAGGGGGCTGGGAGTGGAAGAAGAAATATTGACATCTTTGGTATAGAAAAGATACTGCCAAAAGAAAGAATCTTTTAACATAGAGAAAAAAGAATTTTTCACAAAGCTATAAGAATTGTTTGTTGTTTTTTTTTTAAGAGGCAAAGTGTAATGGCCTTGAAGAAAGTACATAGAAAAACAATTCAGAGTGAAAGGCTCTAGGCCAGGTGAGAAGACACGGAGAGATCTTCAGCAAAAGTTCATAAAATAGCCGAATAAAAAGGCAGTTTTCCAAGGTTGGGTGATAATTGTCAATGTCTTCAGTACTATTCTGAAAGATTCACAGGGATAGGCTAGTTAAAGGGCTGCTATCACCAACAGCCACAGAGATGAGCAGCTCTGAGCTGCTCAGGACAGGAGCCAGGCCCCACTAACAATCACATGTGCATGTTAGGGCAAGCTGTCTGAACATCCCTGTGCCTCAGTTTCCTAACATGTAAAATGCAAGGCTAACCACTTCATATGTGCAGTAGTACCTGCCACCCAGGAAGCATAGCATTTCCAGGGAAGTCATAGGACTGCATTAATCTGAATAAATTGCAGGCAAAGCAGGAATGAGTCGTAGTCCCACTTGGCTGCAGGTGACCTTGAGGACTCAATAATTAAAATCTCCATTTTGAGCACAATTTGAAATTTTTATGACAAATGAGAGGTATGCGTTTAAAAAAGTATTTAAGCAATTTAACATATGGCTGTTTAGGGCTCTTAGCATCCTAAGTTTTATTGCAATATTATAAAATGCAATTAGTTTTATTTCAAAAGTGAGCTATAAAGATATAAATAGAACTCTCTTAATTATTAGATCAGTCTTATATATGTTTCAACGATCATAAGTTTTTAGTTTGTTAAATGAAGAAGTGAAATAGGGGTTTCTCTTGACCCCAGAAACTTTGCTGCTTATTTGCCTACAGCTCTTCCTGTCACCCTTTAGATCTTTAGTGAGCTGTCCCCACCCCTTCAGAGCCTTCTGATGCCTTTTCTGCATCAACATCTTCCTTTAGGCCTGCCCTGTCAGTAATGGCTGGCTACTCATCTCTGTGTCACTACACAGGCACAGAGGTTTGAGGAAATAAAAAGATGAATATCTGACTGAAAACTGTCAAAACACACATGCAATTATTATTTAATAAAGGCAGATTTTTCAGATTGAAGCTTGTCAAAAAGATGCAGAATCCTCAAATGCAGCGGACAACATTTTTTTTTCAGCAGACCCCTCCTGGTGATTTTTATACCCCTAGAAATGTGTCCACAGTAGAGCCTATAGAACAACAAAGCTTTTGTTTCTGTCCATTGCCCAGAATTGTGGAGGAAGGTAGAAGGCTGCACCATGACACTCTTGACTGGCCATTAAAAGGATGCCCCAAAGAGACAAACCATGACAGACTATGGACTCTGAGAAACAAACTGAGGGTTCTAGAGGAGAGGGGTTTGGGGGGTGGGTGAACCTGGCTATGGGTATTAAAGAGGGCATGTACTGAATGGAGCACTGGGTGTTATACACAAACAATGAATCATGGATCACTACATCAAAAATTAATGATGTAATGTATGGTGATTAACATAACATAATAAAATTTAAAAAAACTATTAAAAAAAAAAGGATGCCCCAAAAGGCATCCTTTGTGATGCTGCATGGTCTACACTTTTACCTGCTTTCCTCTGGTTTTTGACTCCAGACTTCTATGGACATATTCAAATTAACATCCATAAGAAAAAGGAAAGGGGCACAATGTTTCCTTGTTACAATTGTTTTTGATAAAAATATAGTTGATCCTTAAAAGAAATACAGTTGACCCAATAATGTAGGGGTTAAGGGTGCCGACCCCTAACACATGCAATCAAATATCCGTGCAGTCAATAACTTTTGACTCCCCAAATACTTAACTACTCATAGTCTACTGTTGAGTGGAAGCCTTACCAATAATGTAAGTAGTTGATTAGCATATATTTTGTATGTTATATGTATTATATACTATATTCTTACATGAATATAAGATTGAGAAAAATGTTATTAAGAAAATCGTAAGGAAAAGTAAATACATTTGCAGTACTGGGCTTATATTTATTGAAAAAAAATATCTGCCTATAAGTGGATCTGCACTGTTGAAATCCATGTTGCAGGGCCAACTGCATAAGAGGTACTCAAGATGCTTTCTAATGAGTTCTGAAAGGTCTCTCTCCCAGCAAGGGACAAAGGATCTAGCCAGCCAGCTGAGAACTGGGTTTGTGCATCCTCTTCTCCCTTGATTTCAGGCTCCACTGCTTTCACTGGCACACTTCAGTCCCTCAGTTCAACCAGCACAAATAACACTAAAGCAGAAAGGCAACTATGATTTTTATTTCTTTCACATTATTCACTCAAATTTAGAAATATATCCTCTTGACAGACTTCAATTTAATACATAATTCATAGTTATTTTGAAGAACTCAAACAAGTGTCTGAAGAATTGACAAGTCTGCTGCTACGAAGAGTGCAAATCAGGATCTTGAAGAAAAGGGCATATTCACATAGACATCTTGGAGCTGGACTCATATTCCCAGGTCTTTTTCCCTACATCATTCCTGCTCTTCAACTTGGTCTATTGGGATGGATACCTGTATCTCTAAATGTTGCTATGGTGATGACTGAAGAGCACTAGGTTTCCCTCTTTACCTTTCACCCTTTGAGAAGCCACTTCTCAAAGTTTAAGAGTGATTCCTCTCATTTATGAGTGAACATAAGTCATCCTCTCTCCTTTACCTGCCCTACAGTCACTTTTCCACATCAGAAGGAGAGCTTGGGAAGTAGAAAATAAAACATTCCAATTGTACACATTTTTGGCTGTGACTCTTGATATGACAAGTGGTGTCTGGCCACCACACACTGAAAGCTAATTTTTTACATAAATTACATGGAACAAGAAGATTCTCTCATCATTCTTATATAGCATAGTTTTTACTATTTACTACTTAGGTAAAAAACAAATTTATCTCTCCACATTTGAAATGTACTGCTTAACACTTAAGGGTTTGTAGACAATATGTACATATTTACTCCCAATCAATCAAAAAGTAGGCAGAACAAAGACTTGAAATGGTTAATACACATCTGAAAATGTGCTCAGCCTCCCTCATCAATAATCTGAGATATGCAAGTTTTGAAAACTGCACTGTACTCTTTTTGCATTAAATTTGCAAATATTGAATTGGCAGATTGAACTCTCAAAGATCAAACTGTCCAGTACAGAGATGGGGGATGTGTGGGAAGGGGCATGGCATTATTCTATTTATCTAAAGGACAGACATAACATACACCTATTGCTTGATTCACCTTGGGCTGTACTTATTGTATTTCATGATGATTTTTGTGTTGTTCTTGTTGCCTACAGAACTATTCTCTCCTTGACATGAGGCCACCACCGCCTGCAATGATCACTTTAAACAATTCTGTGTACTGGCAGGAATTTGAAGATACCTGTGTCTATGAGTGTCTGGATGGCAAAGACTGTCAGAGCTTCTTCTGCTGCTATGAAGAATGCAAATCAGGATCTTGGAGAAAAGGGCGTATTCACATAGACATCTTGGAGCTGGACTCATATTCCCGGGTCTTTTTCCCTACATCGTTCCTGCTCTTCAACTTGGTCTATTGGGTTGGATACCTGTATCTCTAAATGTTGCTATGGTGATGAGTGAAGAGCACTAGGTTTCCGTCTTTACCTTTTACCCTCCCCAGACCAGTAGTGACCAATTGCAGTAGGAAGGAAGGACACTGCTCAATTTATCTGAAGTTATACATTACCTTTGAGCAGTACAGGAGTATGTGGCAAATATTTCTATTATGTATTTCACACTCACACACATGTGTGTACACACACATTAATTGAGTTTTAAAGTGATATTCTTGCTAATCCCTTATTAAATCTGTAGCTTGGTGATGTTTATGAATGGTTTTTGGATATTGAAAGCAGTTGCCAATTGTTGCCAAGAAATCTGTAAAACATGCAAGCAAATAGCCAAGAAGATCTCTCAGGCCAAGACCCCTTCTATAACTTTCCTTTGCAGCCCTTGGATGTACCAGTGCCCACATTCGTGGAGCCACTGCTTGCTGGTACACACTCATGCTGACCTCAGCCCCACATTCCTGGGCAGTTTGAGTTCAAATGTGAACTGCAGTGAGTTTTGACCCAGTTTCCTCTCCCTGTGTCCTCTTTTACGCTGGCACCATCATTGTTACTTAGCATTCCTTTATCAAATAATTTCACCCTAGGCTTGGGAAGGGTGTATATGCATCCACAAGTTTCCAGTTGAGAAAAAAATAGGATTTTAAAAATTCTCATGTTGCTGAATTCAATGATGTTTATTGCCTCTGAACATCAGTTACTACTTTATTCCAAACTACTGAGAGTCAGCAGTATTTTTAACTTTGGGTTCTGGGACTAGTTCAGCTGGAGTTCAACATTTTACCTTAGTTGTGTTTTACTAGACCAAAACACTACCCCAGAGTATGCGTCTTGCTTATGTTATGCTATTACAGGGTCAGTGATTATCTTCATCTTGCAAAGACAGATATATAGCATTCACAAGATTTTGTCTTGAAAATGTTTTCCAGAGTGTGAAAGAAATGTAGATAGAATTTAAAACTTTCTTAGGGAATATTAACTTTCAAGTCAAATCAACCTTAGATGAAAAAACAAGGGCAATGGCTATCATCAATGATATATTTTGATGAACAAAAATTATTTTATACTTTGAAATATGAATATGTAGCAAAATCCCAAAGAAAAGAATCCCCTGAAATTATTACTCTTTTGATATTTTTATAACACAAAACTGACTTGCTTCTTGATGTTAGTTCTTTGTTTTGACTGGATGCCAGTATGTACTTCATAAGACTTTTCAGAAGCTTCCCACCATTGATGGGGAAAAAGAAAGTCCTATAGTTCATTAATAATGCTTTGGCATTATTAAAATTTTGGTACTAAAATTTTGGTACCAGTATCTCTGTGCTTCTCATTTTTCTCACCCAGAAAACTGAATTAATTTTATTGGAAACCATAAAATTTTATTTTAATTATCTATTGTAAATATGATTATTACTCAGAAAAAAGATAAAATAATATACAGAGAGAATATATAAAAGTACTGATTTCACACAATTTACTGGATGCAGACCAGACAGAAGGGGATGGGAGTGGAAGAGGCTAGAAAAGTAAAATTAGATGAATCTGTTTACTTTTATGAACATCATTCATATCAAGTAAATGCAAGTATATTGGGATACGATCACCCAGTTTTCAAGGACTTAGTCTATAAATCGTGTGAGATATTCAAGCCCATTGCTTTTCTTTCTGTCAACTCCCTGCCATTTGATTTGATAGTTGCTACATAGGCCACAAGCCAGTTGGGTTCGATCTAGCAAATTCAGCTTAAAATATAAAATAACAATAAATATTTGTGGAGAACCAGGTTGAACCTATTGGCTTAATAAAATTTCTACTCTATTGGAGAATTTCACCTCCTAGCATCCTTGTTCTGTTTCTTATGCATAAAACACCCTCCCAACCTGGCAGTGGTAGTTTGGAGGCACCCTGACAAAGGAATTCCTCCATGTCCCACCAAAGCATTGAGTACCCATGGAAGGTGGCCCAAGGCCAGTCTTCTTCAAACATAATTTTCAATTTTATGAATTTATAATATCTAAATATGAAGAATTTCAACCCGTTATGTCTTTTAAAAAGTTCTGGAGGGAAATGAACTTTCTAGTGAAATTCTTCTTGGAAGGAAAATAAACTTAGAACACTTTTATAACATAAGTTTGGCCCAATTTTACCTTTAAAATTTTATTGATGCTTCTTGTTTCAAAGCCACTTAATATTTGGGTATCATTGGCAACTCTTATGAAATTATATATATAGGATATATGTATCAATAACCTGTTTTCTGAATCCAACCATTCTCTTCTCCCTGACCTCAGTCATCCTGCTGATCTAAACACATTAGGTTATCATTCATTTTCCATGAAGGGAAACTTTCATCTCAAGAGAGTCTAATAGATGTTCACTCACAACATGTAAAATACATTTCTGTACATACAGCAATCTACCCACAATGGGTTCTGACTAAAAAGAACTCAGACATCCCTTCAGAACACATTAATGTCAGTTTCTCTGCAGCCTTGCCTGTTCAAGTTCTCTTTATCAATTTCAACTCCTGAGATGAGCCCATGAGCCTTCAGTCCACAAATAGAGGAGAGTGGCATGTACCTCATGCAGATGCAGAACTCAGGGGCTTGCTTACTAAGTATGTATGAGTTTACCTTTAGGAGAAAGGAAGAGGAGAGGCACAGAAAGAATGTGAGGGAAATGTATCACTCTTAAATTGAAGGACTCTCTTTCACCAGTATGCTTGGTTAGTAGGGTTTGTGTGAGGTGTATGGATGTAAGACTGTTCTGCACAGACCCAGCACCCTTACAGCTCTATGCAGCTTGCTTTGCATTTAGACTTGAGAAATACTTTTGTGGTTTTGTGGCAGCTGGTGGGTAAGTTGTCTGAGTGACTGGTATCCTAAAGGTGCTACTGTGTTCCTTACTTTCAGAAATACTGTAAATTGAAGAAATGAGAGTTCTGTATTTTGAAAAGGATTTCTAATTTCTTACCACTGTGGATCATACTTACAACTGTGACTGTCTCTCCTTTAAGATGCATCCAGCTTGAGAGATAAAGAGAAGGCATTTCACATTAATGGAATTAGAGAAAAATGCCTCTTCAGAGCCTAGAAAGTACAGTCTGTACAAAGTCTCAACACCAATGACCAGAGGAGAGATTCTCAGGTACTGGACAGAGAAGGAAAATGTTACTATAATTTACTCTGGACCCAGCCAATACTGACCCTAATTTGCCCAAAATATGCCTTACAGTAACATATAAAGCTTATATCATACACATCTTATAGATTTTCCATTTCCTGTGATCACATGTATTTCATGCCAGGTTTTTTTATTGTTTATGAATGGATGGAGACAGTATTTTCATTTTTTTATGTGCCAAGCAGTCTTATCCTTAATTGTCTGTCAATCAGTTAAGAACACAGTTTTTGTGGCTTCAATTGGAAAAATACTTGTTCTCCATGGCAAAGTATTTTCAGGCTACATAAGGGAAATTGGAGCCTATCTAAAAGTCAGTGACATAGTACTTATGATGGGATATGAGTGTCCACATAGAACCTTCACACCAAGTCTTTTTTACCTAGCCATAGCTTGCTGCAGTAAAAGTGTCTAGACATATTTTTGCTGCTCTGCAAAATATCACAGTCTGCAAGCAAAGGTGGGTAATTGACAACTCCATTTTGCATTAACAAATACTTGCCACAACTAGGAAGCAACACACTCTTTATATAAAGGGCTAGAAAACAAGACAAACAAAACCTCTTCTTCCTTGATCATTTTTATCTCAGCTGCCAGGAACTGAGAACTTTCTGTGATTTACTTTGCAAACTTGAAGAATTATAACTGGTTTCTTACCATTATACTTATCACTATATGAGATCAAAATTCTCAAGACACAAAGCACCTTGAAATCTTTCCATAATCTTGCAACTGTCTGCTTTTTCTGAGAGATTATGAACTATACACATATGAAGTTTCATCATCAATTTCTGTAAAAAAGAAAAGTTAGTGAATGAGTTGGGATAAACATAGATATAAATATACATTGAAATGTTTATGATTAGTCTTGGGCTTCAGAACACTATTGTTTTTAAAATATTCAGAAGGGGGTCTGGAAATAAGGAGGGAAACAGATTGTAAATACACTGTAAATGTGAAATTCACAATTTTCTGTTGAGTCCCCTTCAAATTGCCCAAAACTGAGGAAGTATGCAATCTGTACATGTTTCTTTCTCTCAAATTTGCCTGTAGGAAACCTTCAGGTTCATATGGTTTAGAAGCACCTCCAAATTGTATAATAACATCCAAAGAACCAAAAAAGAACAATTCAGGCTAAATGACAAATCCCTTCTTGTAATTCCTTCTTGACTTACTTTTTACTTAAAAATAAATTTCTATCATTATAAGGAGAAAACATGTATATGTTGAGATAACAGGATAACAACTCAGACATTCATATCTCTGGGAGAATAAAAACTTGGCTTTTTAAAAATGTCTGATCGTTTTGAAGACTAGAGACTAGAGCATTTCGAATCCTCCTTTTAAAATTTCTTCTGATTACAAGTCAGCAATTCCAGGCTATAAGCCTGGTCTAGTTCTAGTAAAGTCAAGAGACTGTTCCCTACTGTTTGCTTGTTTGTTTGTTTGTTTTTGTTTTTTTCAAAATGTCCTTTAGTTAAATGATGCTTTGGTTTTTAATGTTGGCAATAAAATACCTTAAGCCTCTTATTACTCTGCTCACATAAAAAACAAATTTTAGACTAGTTTAAATCAGTGTTAAAAATTAGTTGAACAGTCACTAACAAGTTTTCAAAGTTTTGAGCTAATCAGGTAGGTTTTTCAGATTGTATAATATAGGAACAAGAGCTAGTAAATTAGGAAGACCAAACACACAAACGTGCACACACACACACACGTGCACACACGCATACATACTTCCATACACACACATGCACACACACAAAGCAAACACTGCTTGAATGCAACATTCAGGTAATTGAAGGAAATGTAAATTGTTGTACTTGAATTATTCAGATAATGGCCTACTTTCACCACTTCATTTTTCGAATTTGTAATCACAACACAGTTTTCCCAGCCCAGTGGACCAGCTCCACAAAGTGAGGGTGATAATGGTTCCTGCAGGGAAGTAAGGTCCTCTATGTCTGTTGAACAGTTTAAACTCAACAGATTGGAAAGAATAGTGAAGATTGATTGTCAGTAATGATATCCCCCAGAGTGAGAAGGTAGCTGCTATCTTTTCCTCTTTTCTAGTTATTTGGAGTTTCTTTGTTTTTCCCACTAATCAGTTATTCACAAAATAATTAAAGTTCCCAATTTCCACTAAAA